TTATCCGTCGACCGAACGTTTTCGTCACACATGCAGGACCACCTGTACCGTTGCCGCATCCTTAGTTGTTTCAAAAACATCGCGTTTTAGATGACTTTCTTCGCTGTTATTCGTCGGTGTCGCGGACAATCGTTTACTCCCGAGGCTTAATGCCATGTGTGTTGCACACGGTGACGCTGTCGGACGAGTCTAATTATGATCCATAACAGTCGGCGGTACGAGTTCAAGTCTCCCACCACAATCGAAATATTCGTTTAGCAGCACAAATGTTCAACACGCCCAAATGGTAAAAACGATTGGTATATCGGACCGTTAAACGGTATTTTTCGTTAAAATCGATTTAATTTTTCCTCGACGGGCCCCCCTGACAATGATAAATATATTATTGGCAATCAAACTGAGAATTGTATTATTATTATTATTTTTATTATTATTACTATTATTATTGTTTTTGTTATTATAACTATATTGCACGAGTCTGCACAGAATTTAATATATATTTTGTGAAAAATTGTCTTCCACAAACGGTTTTAATAACTAATTTATAATTTATTCTACCGAACGTTTCAAATTAAATACGGAGCTTCGGACTCTCTTTTCAGTTAAAAAAAATAAAATAAAATAATTTTTTAAGAATTATTAGTCCTTGCAGATCGTAATGAAATTACTGGTTTTTATTTAATTTGATTTTGTTGCGTAACAATGCATGGTTAAAGCTACCGAGGTACTGCTGCAGAGGATTATCATATTTTCCACTGATGTTTCATCGAACTCTCAGAAAATACAATCGACGAACCAAATTGAAAACAGAACAAGAGGTTGGTTTAATTTTTTCATTTCGGTAATTAGTTTTATTGTTGAAATACGTTTACAAATTGTAACTCATTTTCTCATGATACGTATGATTATTACGTCTTAATCTCCGCTTTGGTAAATGTTTATTTACTCTAGCTGTAGAGTTTTGAATATTAAATCTTATGCACCATAATAATGTTCAAAATTTACCATCGAAACAGTTTTTAGGTTTGATATTTTTCATTTTAGATTCTGAACGGAGTGATGGAATCTATTGGTTTTATAATTTTTTTTATTTTTGCGATAGTCATCACGTTTTGGGGCAGTAAAAATGCTTTGATTTTCTTAAACAGCAACTTTTCTGAAAGGAAAGTAAATGTATATGGTACTTTGGTAAGTTGAAAATCAAACTTTTTCAATACTTTTTAAAAGCATCGAAAAAAACCATAAAAAAATTATGAAAAAACGGGAATTTTTGCGCAAAACCACGTTTTGGCCAACTACTAACTCAAAAACGAAAAACCGCATACACTTGAAATTTTCACCAAATATTTAAATTAGCGTTTATTATACATGGTAACGTTTTCGAAGTATTTTGAAATTTTTTGTCTTATATATAGACAATTTAAATTTAAAATTTTTCTAAGTTTTTTTTTTTAAATATCTATAAAAAAAAATTGGCTGTCTATAAACTCTTGAAAATTTAATACAGGGTTCATTATAATTTATACTGACTGCAACTAAAAAAAAATTGGAAATCGTTCCAGACAAATTTTTTTAGCCCATAAAGTTCAAATTTGTATGAAATAAGTCAAAATAGCGATAATTTACATATTATTTTGTAATTATACATTCATAAAATGTTTTATATTTATACTTAAGGTATAACATTTTAACATAAGGTTATCCATACGTTATTCTTTTAATAACTTTAAAACAATTTTTACTGGACTTTAAGGAAAAATTTTTATGACAATTTTAAATTTAAATTTTTATGAAATTGCATAAAATAACGATTTATCCTCAAATGATTTTAAATATTTGTTATAATTCAAAAAGTGAAAGTCTCAGAAACTCGAAAAATTTACTAGTTATTAAGTTAGGTATTTTCTTTAAGCGTATTTTTTTAAAAATATTATACTGATTTTTAGGGAAATTATAGACATTTGAAGTATTCGATTTTTCCTAAAAAAAAATAATAAAAACTGTTTTGACAAATTTTTTGTTAATTGAATATAGTTATATAGGATATTTATATAGAAATTATATCCAAATAGAAAATTTTTAGATGACTGCTTCTATATATAAGATTATTATAATATAATAATATATATATATATAATATTTTTTCTATATTTACGTATATAACAAATCATCTCCGTTCAGAATCGTTATTCGTATACCTATAATTGAATTACATTCAAATTTATCAAATCTATTGTAATGACCTATCCTATAAACGAGGTGCACTCCATCCCCTACTCTATAGCAGAGCGAGGTCCATCTGATTCTTTTTCATATTACATTATATTTCATATATTATAGAAATGAAAAAATATTAAAATGTGCGTTAAATTATTTGATACTATAAATAAAACGAAATTAATAGAATAAATGTATTTTTAATTGGCAATCATTAAGGTTGGTGGTTCCTGTACTATTTATGATTCAGTTTTGGACGTTATTGTTTTAAATTTTCATCTTAAGTATATTATTATTATTATTATCATCACCATCCTGCGTTTCACGATTTTTGTGTTGTTGTTATTACGTAGTATTATAACGAACCTCCCTTTTGAGCGGATTATTTTCCTCGAATTTCGATTACCTGCATACGCCGCTTTAATATAAGATGTATGATATTCATTTACGCAGTATATCGTCTTTCTACTTTTGCTGATTAAATGTAGTGGAATCGGGGCCCAGTGGCGGTCAAATGATTTTGTCATTGGGGGGGGGGGGATGTAGCTGATTTTTTAACAAACACTATATATAAAAATCTTTATTTTTAAACATAGAAATCATATTATATTAATTATATTATTAATTATTATTAATGATATTTATATTATTAAATCTATTTTTCTGTTTTTTTTTTTTGCCAATTCGTCCAGTATTTCGTCTACAGTTATATTGACAACCTCACGATGAACAACCATAATGGTTAAACCATTGAGACGACTCTAATACAATATAATTACACAATTCATATAATAATATAATATATTATGTTAAGCATAAAGTACTAAATTTAAATTTCATACATTCTTATAATTTAACTATAAGGGAAATGAAAAAAATCTAAAAAGTTTGTTTCAATTAATATTTTAGTGTTTTATGTTTGAACTGTTAATTTTATTCGAGCCTAGAGACTACAATAACTAATAAGTATAGTATATTTATTTTTTTAAATAGAAAATAGATGAATACCTATATTATATTATGTATAATATGGATGAATTATAAATATTTAAAAAAAGGTCACGGGGGGGGGCTATCCCCTCCCCGTTTGACTGCCACTGTCAGGGCCGTACACTAAAAACAATGGAACTAGATGCACGCGAGCGCTGATTCATGAAAATGACGATTCAGTAATTGAATTAGATGAAATGACGTTTTCGAAAATTGATGAATTTTTTTATTTTTATATTTTATATTTATACTATTTTTTTTAAAATATTGTATTTTTTACCTATATAGTTTCTCAAATAAAATCCTTCGATTCTGCAATACCAACGAAACACATCGTGTTCCCGGAATTCACGGACAAAACATATTAATTTATTTACATATTTTAGAGCAAAACACATTTATAAAATGTTCGATGAACGAAATTAGTCAAATTAGATACAGGACTTCTTAGGTCCTATACGCGCGAAAAAAACTGTCTTGTACATAATGATACTTTGTTAAATATATTAATTTATTAATTTTTATACATATATATAGAAGCACCATTTCTCATTTTTCTGACGTGTAAAAATAAAAAAAAAATAAATAAATTTAGCCATGGAATGGGCCACGAAGATGCTTAAACCGTAAAATATACACGATTCAAGAGACGAGCACGTAGAATGAAAATAAAATAACGATAGTTTCAATAAATAAATAAATAAAAATAACTCTCGTCGGTGTTTTATACACACGCAAAACAAAATATACAGCTTTTAATCGTTGAAAACCGACGGGAGATGATGCTATTTGCATAAACGGAAGAATGTACATATTACACACAACACATACACACACACTAGTACGCACCAATACGCATCATGTATATAAATGGATTTTCAGATGGAATAAATCAAATTCGTCCACGTAGAAAAAACCCCCTTTGCGTTCATTTCATTCGTATTCTACGAGATGATTTTAATCGTCAGAGGCAACCGAAATACAAATGACGATCGGTGAACGAGTCAGGTGGAACGCGGTCGGGTTCGCTGCATACGGTGAAGTTTTGTTCATGTTACGACGTGTCGCAGTGTAGTTAACCGTAGTACCATTAACTGTTTAAAACGTGCGACACCAATGTTCATCACCAAGTATATTATTCATTTGCAGTGGTGTCGACCAGTTAGCCCTCAGCAGCTGTTTTCGGCATTTAAAAAATGTACCAGTTGCCCTCACATATAATATACACAATTATAAATAGGGGAGATAAATATATAAATAATAAAAAATGAATATAATTACATTAGAATTGTTATTCCTCGTTACTTTTACAAACAGCTCATGGGCGTCTGAAATTACGCGTTCTGGTAAAAATCTGTCCTTGCATTAGGTGATTAACCTATCCTATTTTACGAATTAGTATTACAATCGTATATATAATATGTGAGGGCAATTGGTGCATTTTGCTTTAGATGGTTTTGTGGAAATTGGTATAAAAAAAGGTACTTTTGAGGTCAACTCGTTCATGTCTATTTGCTGTCCGTTGGATCTTTCGGGTTTTACACAACCGTATCGCAAAACCTGTTGAAACATCGTTACCATACGTTCGGAAGTTGAACGAAATTGACTTAGAGTGCACGGTTACTTCGGTAACGCGTGGTACTCCGTATTATATACTTAAATGTAACCACGTGGTCCGAGTGAATACGGTAGACGACGATCGTGTTACGCGAGATGACGTGGCATGGTGTGAGTTTATAGATTTCAACAACTCATGAGGGATGGACAGTGGTGACCGAGTTCAAGGCGATTTAAAAAAAAAAATATCTTTTCTTTTTCGTTCTTCGTATGTACACGTACAGAGGGCGTTCATGTTACATTATAAACTATAATACATAAAGCTAAAATGTGAATATATTTATGTACACACGTATTACGTAGGCATGTGAATTTATAGAAGAAAATTACGACGGCGACGGCGATAGGCTGTCGATCGTTTTTTCAAGGACATTTTTTTTTTTTCGTTTTCGTCCTTCTCCGGTGGTGGGCAGTTGTCGGCGGCTGCGGCGACGGCTGGTTAGTGGTAGTAGTAGCGTTGGGTCAACGCGATCAGCAGAACAAAGGTCGCGGCGAGAAGCGCGTCACCGCAAGGTGGTCCTGCCGACCCGGACAGAGCCTCCGCGGCCGTTTCCACGCAGCTGTGGAACCTACCGTAGTCGAGCTCGGTGACCGCGCAGTACTGTGCTCTCCTACACTCCAGGTTGCAATCCTTGGGCTTGTACTGCCGCACTGAGTTGGCCGCAATGTATCTGGGAGATAGAAAAAAAAAAAAATAGAGAAAAATAAACACGTAGAAAAGGTCTTGTTATTATTGTGCAATCGTAGTTTTCCGTTGAATACGGGATCGGACGGTTACAGTATTAAAATTCTGTTTTTTTAGGTCAATCGAATAACGGTTTTTTTGTTATTATATGTTATTAAATGTATTAGTTTATTATTGTTGGATGACTGTTATGTTATGTTTGAAGACATTTTAGAAATACCAACATAAGGCACATAGGTTCGAATATTATCTTAGCACATATGTTAGAGAAAATGTATTTATTTATTGTTTAATATTTATTTATACATTTAATTTTTTATCAATAGAACAAAACATAACAAGTTTTCGTCGAAATAATTGTTTTTACAACGTTACAGTTGTGCGAGCCATATACCACACGGGTCTATGCACCCTGGATAATTTTTTCAATCCCTGACATTATAAATAAATATACGTCACTGGTAATATCCGTTGTCTAGCGCGGGTTGGTCTAATGGTTTAAAAAGAAAAAGCCTCTCAACTTGGTTCTATTCCAATATGCATACGATTTTGTCAACGTCGAAACACGTCCGTTTATTTAGATTTTGTTTGTTTCTGTAACATTGTTGTATACCAAATTATATTTATAACGTTTTGTTTATTTTATAATTGTAAAACACCACAATATGGAATTAGCCTTATCACGAAAATAAAAACATAATAAAACCTTCATGCGTCCTAATATTATTACAATGAATTTTAACTAAATATCTCACGACTTTATTATCTTTTTCGTCAACGTGTTTATATATAAAGCCATCCACGGGAAGCGAGGAAGCTTTTATTTAATATACTAAGTTCTATTTGACAATCAAGTTTTCGGATAGAATAGAGCCAGATAGGCTATCTGGTACGAAGAGGGAGTTTGTACACGCACCATGCCGGTTAATCCGTTTTTTCCAGATAATATATTTTTTTCGGAAAAAATGTGTGTCATCTCGAGGTTTTTAATTATATTAGTTGTAAAATTTGAGCTGTCAGCGTTCGGAATACAATTAGAAATTTTTACTTCACGCGTGTGTCTACGGTTATGTACGATACATCACATTCGAGTTTTTTTTAACCAACTATATCACCGTGGAAGTTTATACGATAATATCTTCACTATGCTTAATCTAGGGCGCTATGTATGTTAAACATTTAGTCGCAAACAAACGATTATCAATATTTCATAACACATATAGCTTGCGTGGGTTCGTATACGAGTGTGTACGTTTCAGGAAAGCGCGTACGATGATGAAACAAAAGAAGTCCCTCTTTTCGACGCGTAATATTAACAATGTGACGGTGCGTATAAGGTTGTCAAGTATTTCATTCAAAATTCAATAGCATGTCCTGTGCGGTTCTGACATATTTACTCTCGTGTACATAATTATGTATATATATAATATATGCATAGGATCGCGAACAGAAAACTGTATGCGCGTGCGCCCCGAGAACATCGTACACGCAACCGAATACTATACGAAGAATTCCTGGTGTGTTACATTGCTAACGAGTACTAATTTATCTACTTTTAACGTACAGACGTTATTTTTATGCGTTCACATAAGTCTTGTGACGTAATTACGATATTAAAAGTGGAATTAAAATGCGTAATCACGTTTTTCAGTAACTTCTATACGATCTGTATATTTACTGTATAACTCGTTTCGATACAACCTTTTATTCGAAAGAACTCATGAATCGTTTATTCATTTACAATATGTTTTTTATAAAAATCCAATAATTGTTGTATTTTTAAGTAATATATATTTTGTAGATTGTGTTAAATATTCTATACGTGACGTATGGTACTCATATGCTTGTCTAGTTATATTGTTTTTTTTTTTTTTACGTGAAAATGCGAGTGACAGTTCAAGACTTGGGTGTATTTAAACTGTGATCGACTTTAAATTATTTTAAACATAACTGTAAAAAAAAATAATCTTTTTTAAATTAATATAGAAATAAATATATCATTTACTTACGTCTCAAGCAAATAATTATTAAACTTATTTCATGGGATGTGCAAAAGTTATATGAAATTTTAGTTTGTTCGAAGGAACATTAATTTGCAGTATATGGTCGGAAAATAATCATTAAAAATAGTTCGAGTAACAAATATTATTTGATTATTTTCTATATTTGATATGCTTCTACATAATATCTATATACCTACGTCACATTAATAATAAGCTACCTACGTCGAGTTTAAATTAGTTGAAATTTAATAACTTCAACATATTCATCAGAATTGATTATCAATCAAGTCCTCGGAAGTCATAACAATCTATTATTTACTATTCTCAGTTATATGAAAAGTATAAATTATTTATAATTAATGAGAACGATTTTGAACTCAATATCAATCGTTGGATACCGGTGACACTGAGAATCATAAATAATATTTTTACCATGCATGGAAAACAAAATATTAAAAGAAAAATAATGTATTGTACCGGACTAATAAATCTGGTCGTCAATGGAACGAATCATTTACGATTTAAAACCATTTTTTTTTTTTTTTTTTTTTTTTTTATTATTGGTGTAATTTGAATGATAATTTTGGGTAAAATGCAACTATTTAACAAACCTGCGAAATTATATTTTATATTTTATTATTCATGGCATTCATTCTAGATTTTTTTTTTTCATTTTTAATAGCGTAATTGTATTATACACGATTGTAATTAGTAAAATTAGCAAATACAATAGGTATTTCATTTAATTAGAAAATATTATTTGATTATGCTGCACGGGATTTGTTGTAAGTAAAAGAAGACAAAAATCTAAACTTTTCTGCCGGATAAACGAAACGTTTTCCAAGAAAATTGCGAAAGAGAAAGTTAATAGACAGCGTCAAATACCCGAAGGCAAATTTTAAAACTGGAAAACAGACCGTGCCCGTATCAAAAGATGATGATAGAAAAGGAACGGGGAAAATAATGAATAAAACGAAAGTTTGTTGGACTAAAACCATAGTGTATATTCTACTTAGATGTTTTGGTTGAACATTTTATCCGATAAAAAACCAAAAACCACCAGTGAGACGGAAAGACTAGAGAGAAAAGGAGTTAGCGTCTATCTATTCTACTTACAAGTTTCGAATGGTTCGTTGCGGATTGAGCTTAGGGAACGGTGAACGGGGTAGAAGAACATTGAAGTGGTGTTGGAGGATTATTTGAAAGTTTTTTTTTTTTTTTAAGAATCATAAACAATAACTGAATCTCCGAACCCATAGTGCAGTCATTTCTGCGAGAAACGTAAAAATAAACTTATTACCCGAACGCTGTACGCTATATTATTTTAGAGTCTTTGAGGTTTCGCAGTAACAGAAAGGCGAGGACTTTTTTATTTTTTATTAAATTAATATTTTTATGGAATCGCGTCATATTATATAATAAATTTATACATTATACATTATATATACTGCACCCGAATTGTAATAAACGTTACGACACTCAACCCTACAACAATAATGTATACTCGAAATATGCTGTACACAAATTCTTTGATTCTCAATCTCTCTATCTCCCTTACACACACACACACACACACATACACACACATTTAATCGCTCACTTTGTCGACCTTAGTAAAATATTATAACCTACATATACGTTTACGCTGAGAAAAACACACACCGACTTTTCAATTTCATTTTATCATCGTTGTACATATATTATATATTATATAAATATTACAATAAGCTGGCGCACGTTGGCGTAAGATTATATATTATACTATAAATTATAACGTTAGGAATTGAAATTTATAATATGAGTCACATTTTATGAATGTTGCACTTTCAAAAAAAGCCATGACTTCAAGTTGACAAAAAAAATTATTATTTACATGTTAAACAGTTAATGGGGAATGAAAAACTAAGTTTCATATAGTTGTAAATTTATTATAAATATATATTATTTTATAATATCGACGAATAAAAATTTTTAACAATCCGTTTTTGCAGTATCTAAGAATAAAAAAAAATACATTACAGCATTATTAAAATTCTGCTAGCTATCAGTCACTGACCGAATCATTTTGTACAACTGTGGTATTATCATTTACTTTGAGTTGGTTATTTTCACAAAAAAAAAAGAAAACCTACAAAGGCACTACCACCACCATATTCATGTATGGAAATTTGAATTTAATGTAAGAAGATCGTATAAATAGATAAAAGTACGTTTTTATCATTTCCCAATAGTGAATTTTATGTGTATTTTCTCATTTCTTTCACGTTCTCTTTTATAGTTCATTAGATCACCATTGAATTCGGACAATTTATTATTACCTACGTTTCGTAGAATGGAAAAAGATTCAACTCATTTTTGAGCTGCTCGTGGTTGATTAAAATATAGATTTTTTTTCAACAAGGGATTTAATATTTTTGCTAAAGCTGATCGTATTAGATTTACTGTAATACAAACTTATGTATAACATTTACTATTGTATAATGTATTCACTGTTACTTATATTATAATGTAATTAAAATTATAATATTTTCACAAAAAATGCTTAGTTTTTACTATGGTGTACAAATAATGGTGGCTTTATGTTTTTGTAATTGGCGACTCATTGAATGACGAACTTTTAAACAGATGCCTAATGATAAATAGTGATTATTGTCGTATTAACGTACAAAAATGGTATGCTAATATGACATGTACATCTTATGTATTCTGTACTGTTCACATATGAATTTATTTAAAATTAATTATCGGTTAATATGTCCACGTTTCAATCAGTATCATCAATTCTTCTGTAGGCATCACATGTAAACAATATGTTCAGTTAATTGAGAATGTCAATGTGAGAATCTGCAGAACCTCGGAAATAATTATTTACTATAAAACAAAAATAAGTAGAAAATTGTATGATGACGATTAGATAATTATGATATATTGTTTTGCCATTGCTCGAAAAGATAAATTACATTTTTTCTAAATCCAAAATTCG